TTAAAGAGAGTAGTAAAAAAAGAATGATATTAAAATACAAGGAAAACAAAGCAAGGGCATTAAAAATGATACGGGATTTCAAACCAAATAATAGGGATTAACAGTGGTTGTTATATTACACATCGGTATCATCAACAAAGTTGCTTAGATTACCAGATATTGCATATTACTGTCTTCGCATCAGTTGCTCAGATTACCAGAAGCAAGCATGCAAAATTGGCCAACATATAAAAAAAAAAATTCAAGCACTAACTGTTCCCTTCAACAAATCACCAGACATCAGCAGTACAGTTATCCCAGCTGTCCTTCCATATACATATATATGTATATATTGCTGCAGTACTTTCTTTTTCTTCTTTCCCTCATCCCAGTTGTTCCATCCTTTGTTTGTGTAAAAGCTTTATAATAGGGTGACCTCAAAGTTATTGGTTCTTTATATTATTTCCTGTGTGATTGGGATTTTGTTCATGAAACCTTTGCCTGCACCTTTGTCTTCAAGGGTTCTGCCTATTCTCTCTTTCAGTAGAGTTAGTGTTTCTGTTTTTAATATATAGGTCTTTGATCCATTTTGTTTTTAATTTAGAGCAGCCTTCCTTCTTAGTTACAACATTCAGAGCATTCAAACTGGATGAATGAATTATTGTTGCTTAAACATGTTTTGATCACTTTTGTAAGGTTACAGTTTGTAACTTTTATATTTGTATCTTCATGGTAGTAACTATGGTATTGTAAACTTTTGGAAATATTAAAATTTTAATGTTAAATATCTAATTATTGCTAGATGTAATAAACCTAGTTTTTTGAATATTGTGTTTATAGAATAGCATAATAATGTTTCATAATGGTATGGGAACTAAAAATTATTCACTAATTGGTGTTGGAAATAATGCACAGGAAATTGTAAAGTTATTTCAAACTTCATATTAGATTAAGTCAATATTGTGAAGACATTTGAATATTAATAAAATTACATAAGTATTAATGAAAATAATGAAAGAATATTTTTGTGGATCCAAGTATAAAATTTGCACCCGAGAGATACAGTATCATCATAGGCAAAGTCAAGAGAGAAATGGAAAAATGCAAAATATTTTCAATTCATTTCAAAAAGTCTAATCTTCCTCTTATGTAAAAAATTTTAATAAATTAGTATGAACAATATGCACCATGTGATAAAACTGTGCACAAAGATATGGATAGAGGTACTTAAAATCAACACATTGACTTTTAAACAGAACAAAGGTTAAAAAAGTAAAATGAAAACTTCAGCTAGATTACATTACTCACATATAAGATTGGCAAATATCCAGAGATTTAGCAACAAACCTTATTACAAAAAGGTATTGAAAATGAAATATACTTATGACTCATAGGAATTTGTAAATTTGTACAACTTCTGTAGGGTAATGTGGCTCTCATATTTAAGTATTTATTACACTGAATAAAGAAAATAAGTGTTTATGGTAGACCGCTTTTATTCAGAATTATACCAGAGATCACACATAGTCAATAAGGCAAGAAAAATAAGAGAAAATACACAGTAATTACAAGGGAAAAATTTGATTGTACTAGTATGTGATATGATTAGCTATGAAGAAAATCCTGTATATTCTACTAAAAAGTTACTAGAAATACTAAGTGAGTTTAACAAGGTTATAGTATACAAGTCTAAAATACAGAATGCACTGTGTCTTTTTTCACAGTTGGCCTTATGTACCTGTATCTGAATCTGTGGATTCAACCAACAGCAGACAGAAAATACTCAAGAAAAATATTTCATCTATATTGAACATGTAAAGATACTGTTTCTCATCATTATGCCATAAACAATATAGTGTAGCAATTACTCACATAACACATTGTATTACTTGTTACAAATAATCTACAGACTAGGTAATGCAATCTGGAGGCTTTGTAGGTTATATGAAAATATCACACCATTTAAAGTAAGCTCTTTGAGCATCTGTGTATTTTTCTATTCATGGAATATTCTGGAACTAATTTTCTACAAGAACTGAAATGCAACTATACTAGCTTTGAACAATCAGTACCCTGCCTATCCACAATATAACAAAGTATGTGGTTGTTATTTTGTTTTGTGATGCATTAACTCCATTTGGGGGTCATTTGTTCTTAGCGTTTCCTAAGTCTTTTCTATGCTTAGTGATTTTTCTCACTGTTTGTGTTACTGAGTAACGAGAAACAAGTTTAGAAGTCCTCCTCGTCTATTTGAGGGTCTATCTGGTTTATCCCTGACTTCTATCTGTTTTTCATCTATATTTTGAAGCTCTCTCATTAGGTGGTTATGTCTCATCTACTTTATGAATTAACCTATTTTCACTAAGTATTGTACACACTGACCCCTGGAAATACTCCCATGTAAATTGTTTGCTTCATAGTAAGTACCTATGATAGCAAAACATAAACTCAGAAAATTTCATAGATTTTGATTCATTAATTCTATTTTTGGGATTTGATTTGAATATAATAACTTAATAAAATCTTAAACTGTAAAAAAAATCATTACTTATTGGTGGGATGTAAATGACTACAACCATTGTGAAAATCAGCATGGAGATTACTTGAAGAACTAAAATTAGAAATTCATTTGACCGAATTATTCCTCTTGGTATCTCCCCCAAAGAGCTAAAGACATTGTATTATAGTGATAGATGGATACCAAATGTTTATAGCAGCACAATTTATAATAGGCAAATCCTAGAGGCAGCTTGTATACACAGCAACAAATATATGAATAAAGAAAATGTGGTATCTATGCATAATGGAATACTACTCAGCTATAAAGAAGGATAAATTTGAGATATTTGTGGGAAAATGGATACATGTGAGAATGAGCATGTTGAGCGAAAGAAATCAGACATGTAGTTTAAATACTTATGGTATCTCCATTTGAATAAGGCAAATTTCAAACAAAAAACTAAATAAAGCATGGAAAGAAAGAAAAAACAGATAGATCTTTTGTAAATGGGAAGGCACCCAGGGGCTGATTGCGAAGGATTGGGCTGTGGAAATGACAAGATTTGGTAGCTATGTACAGCTACTAAACAATCACAATGAATATAAACATTATATGTCATAGTATGAGATAAAGATAATAACAGAAGAATGAAAATGGGGAAAGGAAATTTAGAGACAAAGTTAGGGAGACAGGTGTGAAGGGGAAAGAGATTAAAAAAGAAGCAAGCTGTGTTATGCATATATACCTACTCCCAAAGTGGATGTGAATTTCATGGACTGCCAACATGTGCTAATAATTTTTTTTAAAGTTCATAAGTGTGTATACTGGACTACATGAAGAATAATTGAATTATAGAAAATGGGAGAATATAAAAATTAAATTATAACATATACATGCTGATTCATTTATGGATTAACCAAACATCATATTTAAATAGCATTCTTAAAATAATTACAGCATTTTGACTAATAATTTATAATTAGCGTTGTCTTGGTTACTTTTCTCTCACTGTTGAGACAAAATACCTGACACTCAGGATTAAGGAAGGAAAGGTTTATTTAGCTCACAGTTTGTGGAGGTTTCAGTTCATACTTGGCTGGCTCCAAGGCAGAGTGGCACATGGCAGAGGACAACAGTTCATGGTGGCAAAAGACAACAAAAGCAGCAAGCACCCAAGGAGGGGGAAGCAAACCTCTTCTCCTCCCTTATATTGTATGCAAGCTACCCACCCCAAGGTGGGTGTAAGCACTGACATCCATAATCCCAGCACTGGACGATGGATCAATCATAAACTCTAGAAGCCTTCCCCATGACTGCATGAGGCTTTGGGGAACATTTAGACACAAACCATAACAAGTGTTAAAGTTTTACATTTATTATACAACTTAGTTGCTAACATTTGGTGTGAAAGTGACCATCAATCTCTCAATTTTTAGTTAAGAAATTGTTTTACTGTCTTACATACCTTGTTGGGGGTCTAATATTGCAACCCGGGTTATGATATTAAATGATGAAATGGGGGCTGGGGATTTAGCTCAGCGGCAAAAGCGCCT